ATAAATCCTAAAGATATATTCTCTAAATAATATCTTAACATAAAATAAAACTTAAATATATTATTCTCTTAAATGATATCTACGGAAAATATATCACACATATATTTTCCGATATCTCATATGTCCAACACCCTCCCGCAATCGTAATGGCAGCAAAAAGAACGTTGCAGATTGGAAATTCTTCTTTTGTTGAAGTCAATATGCACTCTCTGGTGATGTCGCCTTCAATTTTTTTTTCTTCAATGATGAGAACATTCATCTTTTCGAACTCATTTGTCATCAATCAAACAGGAACGTCATTCTTTTTGAACCAGCAAATATAACAATTTTTGGTTTTTCAGACCAAAACCGAGCTCCAATCAAATATTGGTTTTTTTAGAGTAAACCACACACAAATCTCTTAATGGTCTTTCAGAATAAACCACACTCAAATATCTTATTGGATTTTTAGAGTAAACCACACTCAAATCTCTTAGGAAAAATGGAAAAGAAAAATCCAACCTTTGCACTTTTTCCTCCGAAAAATCCAACCTTCATTTTATTCCTAAAAAATTCAACCTTTATACCCCACCTTCTCCAAAAGATCCATTTAACCTTTAACTTGTTTAATAGATAATTTTTTTTTTAATTCTACCAATTTTCCTTCTCACTCACCCTCTTTCTCTCTCCTCTCTCCTCAAAAACGGAAACAACCAACCCACCCACCAATTCCTCCACCACAAAACGGAAACAACCACAACAACCCACCACATCATAAAATGCAGCCACTGCTCACCTCCTTGCCTCCCCAAAACCCAACCACCTGCCGCCTCGAAACCCCAAGATCCACCCACCTGCCGCCCAGAAACCCCAAGACCCACCCACCTGCCGCCCCTAAATCCCCAACGCCACCCTCCTGCCGCTCCAATATCCAACCCTGACTCTGTCGCTCCTCCACCGGAGCTCTAATCTTCTCTCCAACCATGGCTTCGCACTCGGCTCAATCAACTCAAAAATGCCGAACAATTTCAACCATTTTCTTCAGCATCGCAAATCTCTGGTTCAAACCACAGTGTTTACATGAATCAATTATTCCCCAAATCGAATTCAAGCTTCAAATTAAGCAGCGGAAATTCATTACAAGCCGATGTTCTTAGATTAAGAGAAGACGTATTCTTGGTTGATTCAGGAATTGGAACCCCTAGAATTTGGTTACAATACGAGTTAATTGGGGTGAAGAACAAGAACAAAATCAGAATTTGGTAGTTGGTGAGTAACAAGCAGATGTTGGAAAGGTTTTTCATTGATTTGGTAGTTGGTGATTCGATTGGCTGGGTGGTTTGGAGTTGGTACGATGGTTTGGAGTTGGTACGGTGGCTGGGCGGTGTAGAGGAGAATGGGGTTGCTAGGTTCTGGTGGGCGGTGGGGATAGGGTGGTCAGGGAAGGAGGGTGGGGCGGGGTTTTCATAATTTGATTTGCTTTTTTTTCTTTTAATTATTTTTGTTTTTTAATAATTAAAAAAGTTATTGACCAATTAGTGGCTGACACGTGGCATATAACTTGCAAAAATCGGTCTTTTGGAGAAGGTGGGGTATAAAGGTTGGATTTTTGGGAGGAAAAAGTGCAAAGGTTGGATTTTTCTTTTCCATTTTTCCAATCTCTTATTGGTTTTTTTCAGAGTAAACCACACTCAAATTTCTTATTGGTCTTTGAGAGTAAACCACACTCAAATCTCTTATTGGTTATATTTTAGAGCAAAACCAAACTCATATCCAGAGGAGCAGCATCATGCTCGAATCAACTCAACAAAAAAAAAAAATTATATTTGCACAGCTGAATTTTTGGGTAAAATTTATGAATCCCGCTGGTGAGTTTAATTTTTTAACCCACCGAAAGGGGGCAAATTTTTTGTGAACGGCCCCAAGATTTAATGTGCTCTTGATACCATGATAAATTAGGGGTGAAGAGAGAATGAATGGCTTTGTATTGCTTACCTATTATTCATCAATAGGTTGAGTATTTATACAAAACCTACGCTCATAGGATAGGAAACATTCTTCCTAAAAGTTAACTACCATAATCATAAATCCTAAAGATATATTCTCTAAATAATATCTTAACATAAAATAAACTTAACTATATTATTCTCTTAAATGATATCTACGAAAAATATATCACACATATATTTTCCGAGTAAAGTTTTGGGTGAGATGAACTCACCTTGAGTCCGCCGCCACCACGATCTTCCGCAGCCAGCCTACCCCGACCTTAACCCAGAAACTCACACCTCAACTCACAAACACCCACCTCGGCCTTGACCAGAAATACCCACCCGACTTTGACCTCGGCCCTGACTAGAAACACCCACCCGACCCTTACCTCGACCCTAACCAGAAACACCCACCCGACCTTGACCATAATCGCTCACCTCGTCCCCCACTTTGACTTGACCCAGAAATGCGTGAATCTTGGTCGTCGAAAATCTAGCTATTTCAATTAGGGTGGGTGGTGGTCGCAGTTAAGGTAGGGTGATGGGGTGGTGGTTTGTGTTCAGTTGGTGCAAGGTTGAGGAGAGAGAAAATATTGAAGTCATGGAAGAAGAAGAACGTTATTGGTGAAGGAGAAAATAATGTCAGGTATTAGATGTTTATTGTTTGGTACTAGATTAGTATTGTCAGGTATTAGATTAATATTAATTAGTTAAATATTTGTTTGGATTTAGAAAATTTTAGTCAGAATTAAGATTATATTTATCAAGAATATCATAAACAAAATAAAGATGTTAGTTAGGAAAAAGACTATTTTAGTCAAAAATAAGATAATTTTTATTATCGGGTTTCTCAGACCCGCGCCTTTTTGTTGTTGAGCCCGGCCTCACGTGAGTCCGTTCTACACAAAACTTCTCTATTTTCCGATATCTCATATGTCTAACATTGTTTTATTAAGCATTGAGTAGTCATAATCCGACAAGCCCAACCCGTATCTAAAACTGAATGTGTCCCGAACAATTGGTCTAAGGTGCACCCTTGTGCACCTTAGATAGGTGTAACAGCAGCCCAAAAGCCCAATTACACACAACCCAATTAAAATAGGCCCTAAAACTAAAAAAAAAACGGTAATTACAATATACTCACTCACACACAATACACACACCCACACCCAATACATGTAACGTCACTTTCAAACTCAAAACTCTTCTTCTATATGATCTTCTCTCTCCTCTTTTTCACTTTCTCTCTTCTCTATTTCATTTTCTCTCACTAAAAAACTGCAAAAACATCAATGGACATTAAAGAAGATATGCAAAATCAAAAGGGTCTTCCCTAAAAAAAAGGCAAATTTATGTAAATTTCACTTAAGTTTGTTTGAATTATATGATTATCACTTAATTTTGTTTGAAATTGTTCGAAATTTTTTATTGGAATTGTCAAAAAAAAAAATAGTGAAATCAAACGGATACTTATGTTCACATTTTAAAGTTCATATGTTCATATTTTGAATCCATTTATAAACTTTCTGAAATGCATATATTCACTTTCTAAATCCATATGTTCATATTTTTTTTACGTATATGTTCACCTTCTGAATTGCTTAATTATGTTCATACGCATTCAAAAATGAACCAATGCATATGTTCATATTTTGAATGCATATGTTCATATATTTGAATGCTTATGTAAACATTCTGAAATCCATATATTCATATTTTTTATGTATATGTTCACCTTCTAAATGCTTATGTTCATGCACATTCAAAAAATGAACCAATAATGCATATGTTCATATTTTGAATACGTATATTCATTTTCTAATATGTGTATATTCATATTTTTAATGCATGTTCATATTTTTTTTAATACTTATAATGTGTATCTTTCATAATCATTTTATTTTTTATTTCTTCAATTTTCTTATGTTCATAATTAAAGGTTGTAAATTCAATTCAAATGAATTACATGTTCACAAACCTAATCGAATTGATCAAAATTCATTACAAAATCACCACATAATAAATCGAAATTCATACATAGATCAAATTGATATAAATTTAACAAAATACAATTGCAATTGAATAAAACCTTTAAAAAAAACTAAAATGAACACGTACAAAAATGAACATGATAAACAAAGTTATAAACAATTAGTATATTAAAAATGAACATGATTTTCATATTCAAATAGTTCAAATTCATTGTTTATAATAAAAATGTTCATTTTTTTGTAGTAAAATGTTCATGTTTCATGTACTAATGTTCATTTTGTAATAAATGTTCATTTTAAATTATTACATGTTCATTTTTCTTACATAAATTATACAAATATTCGATTATAATTATTCCAACTCAAAAAATTGATTATATATCTTAAATCTAATCCTGACTCATCATAGATAAAATAATTACTGATCTATGATTGATTAAGAATAAAAACAAAAAAATATATTAAAAAAAAAGAAAAAAGAAAAGGAGGAGAGAGAAAATAAAATAAAACCCACATTCTTCTCCATTAGTTCTCTAAAACTCAAAATCATTTCACAAAATGACGAAGGGATGAAGATCATTGTAATTATATCATCATTAATGCAAATTTTTGATCAAGAACAATCTTCAACAACATTTGGGTTGGATTTGATGAATCAATTGAAATATAAAAAGGAAGGAGAAAAAACAGAGTTAAAGAAAATTATAATAAAATTTATGATCGAAAATTTTGATGAGAAATAGGAAAGAAAAGAGAAAAGATAGAATTGGGAAGAAGGAAACTAAAAATTTTAAAAAAGAAACAAACTAATGCGGGAAAAACATTTTGTATGATTTGAGTTTGGGCTGCGTTTCATCCATAAATTCCTGCGTTTCATGCTGTTACACCTACATTAGGTGCAGGAGGTTACACCTAAGAATATACCTGTCCCGAAGCCTATGGGGGAAATAGATAGAAGAGATTAATGTCCAACTATTATTGTGCATTTGTGCATGCCCTAATATAATCGAAATGTTGGTGGTATTGGTATATGAATGTCCAATCGGGCAACCCCCATATAAATATTTAGATGTTCGAATTGATAAAGATAGTGATAATATTACTCGTACAGTCGTACTATGTAACCCCGCCAAACCCAATCCAAACCACAACAAAAAAAATTCAGGCAATGTCCTCCTCTTTCTCATACTCTTTCACCCCTTTCTCTCTCCTCCCCAAACCCATCTCACCTCGTTTCCACCCCATCAAATTCTCCCTCTTCCAACCACCACAACCACCACCGAACCCAAAACCCACCAAACCCGAACCCAAATTCAAGTCATGGGTCAGCCCAGATTGGCTCACTTCCTTATCCCGAACACTAACCTTCACCCAAGACGATTCCAGCATACCCATTGCTAGTGCTAAGCTCGAGGATGTTTCTGAGCTTCTTGGTGGTGCCCTCTTTCTTCCTTTGTTTAAATGGATGAATATTTATGGACCCATTTACCGTTTAGCTGCTGGCCCCCGGAATTTTGTGGTTGTTAGTGATCCTGCTATTGCTAAGCATGTTTTGAGGAATTATGGGACCAAATATGCTAAGGGTCTTGTTGCTGAGGTTTCTGAGTTCCTTTTTGGCTCCGGTTTCGCCATTGCCGAAGGCTCGCTTTGGACGGTAACTTTTGGTTCAGATGATTTTGAGTTGCTGTTTAATTTGTTTATTGTTTTTAATCTTGCTCGTATATTGAAAGTATTGGTAAAATTTGACATTTCAAAAGTTTACATTTGATCAGTTAATGTTACAGATATGGTTGCTTTTTTTAAACATGTACTAGTACTAGTAGTCCGTAAATGAGAAATGTGATCATTTTTTGGACTTATATTTAAACTGTTGCGTATATAATCAGATGATATAGAATTTGATGGTCTAAATCGAAGTGTTGAGTGTTCATACCAATGTCGGGGTATTGAGGATTTGACACGGGTACTTAGGTAAATTAAAGAGTCCAAAAGCCTATAAACCACGAGCTTCCTTTGTTATTTTTTCCAAGGATGGCTCTAAGGTACCGATTTCGTTTACATAACCTGCATTGCTCAACTTATTGAATTTATTGATCTGTCCTTTGTCGAAGCATACTGAACTTAGCTTTTATAATTAGGTATGGAAATTAACATACACACGGCTAATGCTATTTAATGATGTTTGATCTCATTAAAATTCTGCTTACTTTGAGGGATGTGGAGTGAGTGATATTGAGGTAGCAACTATTACATAGTCATGTTGTTATGGCAATGTTGGTTCAAGAAAGTATTCAAACCCATGAGCATGGAAGTCTAATTTTTTGATAGGCAAGGCGCAGGGCTGTTGTTCCGTCACTTCACAAGAGGTATCTATCAGTGATAGTTGAGCGGGTTTTTTGTAAATGTGCTGAAAGGATGGTGGAGAAGCTAAAAGCCAGTGCAGCCAGTGGTACATCTGTGAACATGGAGGCTGTATTTTCACAACTTACGCTTGATGTCATTGGCCTATCATTATTCAACTACAATTTTGAGTCTCTGACTACTGATAGTCCAGTCATTGATGCTGTTTACACTGCACTAAAAGAGGCAGAGAATCGTTCTACTGATATTCTACCATATTGGAAGGTGAGTTCTTGTTTGCGCAACTTGTTTGTCTTTTGCCTCTGTCCTGGATACTGTATGCCACCATAAATTAATGCTGTTTTCTAACAGGTCAAAGCCTTGTGTAAAGTTGTTCCCAGACAAATAAAAGCTGAGAAAGCAGTTGAAATCATCAGAGACACTGTTGAAGAGCTTATTGCAAAGTGTAAGGAAATCGTTGAAGCTGAAGGTGAAAACATAGACAATGAAGAATATGTCAATGAAGCCGATCCAAGTATATTACGTTTCTTGCTGGCTAGCAGGGAGGAGGTTTGTTGATGTTAAATTACTTTCATGCTTACATTACCTAGCTTCTAAAATACTATTTCCTTGATAGAGCATCGCCAACATAGTGAATAATGGCCTAACTTGGTCTCACTAACTAGTAAGGGCAAGATAGGGTCAAACCCATGAAACATTGAATAACCACCAAACACAATTGCGTAAAAAAGACAACTCAAATCAGGTGTGAAAAGGATTGTTAATTCTAAGTACAAATTCAAAGCAATTTTTGTAGAGAAAAAAAAAATGTGAATTATAATGATAAGAAAGCCTAAGTTAAGGGCTACACCACTCAATTTGATCACAAGATTGCAATTAGATATGGGGGAAATAGAATTATAGGGGATAGATTAGAAAATACGAAGTATCATTTAAGATACCCAAACACCCTTTTGAGCTAGAAGGGTTAGCTTGAATCATGACTGAAATCGTTTTTTATAGTGATTAAATACAAGTTTCCCAAACTAATACTAATAATGAGTTAAAGTATAAGTATTCTTATCACAAACTAAGACAAAATGCTTAGAGAAAATAATGGTCTGAAGAGGTCGAGTCTCACAAAAATAAAGGCCAAAATACACTCTAATTTCAGACATTTATCAAGGCATCAAACTCCCCAATGGATTGTTATTTCTTGCAGCACGCTTATGCCACTTTTGGCACGTCTGTATTGCTCTGTAGAAGCTTAAAATATTTTTTGTGCATCAGATTATGAATTTCCAAATTATGGCTAGAACCTTTGTTGCTTGAAATGTTTTAGGCATAAGTTCAATGTTAGAGGCTATATGCCATTTTCTTGTGGTTTCTTCTTTTCAGAACTCCGTGATTACTTTAGGAGCCAAACATACTAAAAAGTTATTCACTGCTAAATGCTGCTCTTTCTTCAACTCCTTGATACATATACCCTAGAAAAGCCGCCAACTAATGCTGTAAACTACTTTTTCATTTCCCACCCTTCTCATATATTACTTATCTATGAGCATTAAAGTTATAGGCATGGCTGCATGGGTATATTGTTTGGAGTCCTCACAGTAGATATTTCAGTGTCTTGTCATCACTCTGCTTAAGGTTAATAGATTTAATATGTTCCTGTTGAAGGGTGAATGTGAGTATGACAATTTTAAATGCTATGGTAAGATATCTTTTTGTATTAAGAAACTTTTTTAGTTTCTTGTATGCACGGGCTAAGGACAGCGCTGTATTCGTCTATATTGTTTCGAGCTCATCTGGAAGCCCGCATCAGTTGAGTAATCCATTTTCTTCGGACTTCAATCGTTCTCAAGTTTCATGTATGATACATGACTGCAGGTATCAAGCATACAACTGCGAGATGACCTCTTGTCAATGCTAGTTGCTGGGCATGAAACCACCGGTTCAGTGTTAACATGGACAGCGTATCTTTTAAGTAAGGTATTAAGTTGCATCTGTTTATCTTAAGACAGATGTGGCATGAAACTTATTTTATAAACAGAACTTGGTTGAATGGTCAATAAATAAATTATTCTGGTAATCTTTTTCAGAATCCTTCATCTTTGTCAAAAGCAAAACAAGAAGTCGACAATGTTCTCCAAGGAAGGCTTCCTTCCTACGAAGATACCAAAGAACTCAAGTTTTTGACACGTTGCATATTAGAGTCAATGCGTCTGTATCCACATCCTCCAGTAGGTCCTCAATCTTGGTCATGCAATATAGACTCATTCCTAATATGTGAATAGGCTACTTAAAGAATTCTCTGCATCACTGTTGGTAAAGGTTTTGATAAGAAGAGCTCAAGTTGACGACACCCTTCCTGGTAATTACAAGGTCAATCCTGGTCAAGATATAATGATATCAGTATACAATATCCATCATTCATCTCAGGTATAGATCATTACTCTTTTTGTGGACCATGCTTTCCCAGTTTCTCTTGGTACACAGTAACAATAATTTTAATTTTTCGCTTTTATTATTTATTTTATTTTTTCATGGTTAAGCAATAATTTTTTCTTTTTTCTCCGGAAAATGCACACTTAAAACTTAATGTAATGGACTATCTTTAACTGTTTTAGTAGTTGCTACACCATTTCATTGGATGTTAAGAAATTAAAATATCAAGCCTTTCCAGATCTGAGCTTTAGTTAGTTACATTCAGCATGATAAGCTATAACTTCAATCATGAAAGAATTCATTGAGCCTTAACCTCCTTTTTGTTCTCATATTTACACTGCAAAGTGCAAACCCATGTATATGAAACAATTTGAAGCACTTTTATTATTATTGTTATTTTTTTGAAGTTTTAGCTGCTGTGTAAACAATTACTACTTGTTTCGGAATTAAGTACTTCTTATGCACATGGACTTCTGTTTCCTTGTGGTCAGTTGGTCACGTTTATCACTCTATCAGCTTTGCTTCTGAACAATGTGTGGTAACAACGTGAAATTGTGATTTTGTATAACTTTGTGCGAATTATACTTTATTAGGGTAGCTATTCCTTAGCAATCCAGTATTCCTGCTTATTGGTTTTGTTTCATGTGTTCTGTCTGAAAAGGTGTGGGAAAGGGCTGAAGAGTTTGTTCCAGAAAGGTTTGATTTGGAGGGTCCAGTTCCTAATGAAACAAACACTGATTTCAGGTACACATCTTGTTTGTTAGCCGTTTCATTGAAATGGGTCTAATTCTTATAGCTTTATAAAATTCAGAAAAATTAGCTAGCAGAATATAGTATATTTCACATCAAAATCTGTTGGTCGTAACAGATGACATTTGGCAATTACATTTTCTGATATTTCTTTTCAGGTTTATACCATTTAGTGGAGGACCTCGTAAATGTGTAGGTGATCAGTTTGCTTTGTTGGAAGCAATTGTAGCCCTTGCAATCCTTCTCCAGAACATGGATTTTGAGCTGATCCCAGATCAGGACATTACTATGACCACTGGAGCAACTATCCATACAACAAATGTAATTCTCTTCTTCCATAGATATATTTTCATGCTGGAATCTTTTTGGGAAATTTCTTTTTTTTTTTTTTTTTTTTTTTTTTTTAATTTCATATTCAAAAGAAAAGAGGAATTTTGTGACTGAGTCATTTGTTGTCCTAAAAAACCTAATTCATGCATGATGATGTTCTATCATTGTTGGGGAAAACTTAGTTTAACGTTGCTTGATATATTTCAATATTGCCAAGTGAAAGACACTAAATTTGGCACTCTACACATGTGTATGTCCATAATATTGTGGTTGCAGCATCTAAAAACCTTGTAAGTTGGCGTTATCTTATCTAGTTATTTAAATCAGTTTGTTTCTTACCTCTCCATGGATTGGTCAATATCTTACTGAAATATTATGGTCTGTTAACAGTGTAACCTATAAAGCATCATGCTCTTCCTTGTCTGTGCCTGCCTGCCAAAAGATGTTATTCTTGTATCTAAATGTGGGATGGTATTCATTTACTCAACATAAGGGGTCTTATTTTTTTGCTGGTGTTGGGAAAAGAGCATTAAAGTAACTTAATTGTATTTTGACACTTCTGACGCATTAGATCTATAGAAGAGCTCATAAGATCTTAAAAATTCAAGTAAATTTTATGTGGAGTTTCGGTGTAAACCTCTCAAAACAACCATGTGGTTTTTCTTGATATTCATAGAATTTGCGTTAGGACTAATACACGTAATTTGATTTTGTTGCAGGGCTTGTACATGAGAGTGACTGAACGTGCAAAAGAACCTGTACTCGCTACATGATTATAGGTAACAACATACTGTTGTGTAATGGAGTGTATAAATGTCAGATTGCATGATAGTAATCAATATGCATATGTCTAGGGGAAAAGTTCTGGAATCGTAATGTAGTTATTCCTTGCCCTTATTTACTTGTAATTATATTTCACTAGATCCTTCTCGATTCCACTTATTTCTTGATTGGATTCAATAAGGCTCACAAAAGTTTAAAATCCTTGCCAATTGATCTGCTAAAGAGTTTCAATTGCTGGACATGAAGCTAATTAGTATTCCATAATATTTAAACTGATGTTTACATGCATGGGCCGTTCAGTCAAATACTTATTCCATTTATATTCAACAATCGCAGCTATGATTTTTGTGCAACTACTTGTATATTACGTTTAATGAGCTGCATGGAATTTTTTTGCACCTCGCATTTTAGAACTATAGTTTTCGCCATGTTGCTATCCGGCCTAATCCCCCCCCCCCCTACCTCCCCTCTGCCCCTTCTCATTTCATTTATTTTGTTTATTCCCTGTTTTCTTCAATTCTGCTGAAGATCAGTATATGTCAGGCTGCTTCTTTTGCCAATATGAAGGGAAAAGGTATCAGGAAATTTATAGCTACTAAGCTTGTCATTGTCTTGGGTGTTCAGCATCAAATGAGCAGGCTTTTTTCATGCTGCGGAATGCATTAGTTGTGCCATCTAGCAAACTGAAGTGGTCTTCTGCCGTGTTATCAAGACAGTTTGAAGCTTTCAAATCTCAATTGCTGCTGCAAAACGGAGTAACCTCAATTACCAACTGTTGAATCAGTGAACAATAAGAGATTACATCCCCTCAAACAGGTTTAGATATGTGAAAAATAGAAAATAACTACGACCTCCGTAACAAAAATGTCTAATCATTGCACATAACCTGTAAAGGCTATAATGGAGGTAGTATTAGATTCTTGTACACATATTTTTACATACATAATAGTTCATACATAATCATATGCGACTATGCAAGTCTTCCCTATCCCAAGTCAAGGAGCATAAAAAGAAATGTGACATACTTTGTACTTTGTATAAATTAAGGAGATAAAGGGTACATTATAAAATTCTTCAGTCATTATCTGCGTTCAAATTTTAATGACTACGCACAAACGAAGTGAGATAACGAAAGTAGCTTGAACTCACCAAGGGCAAAGATTTGAGACACAATTTGTGGTTATGGTGGCAGATTCATCCTAGTAGAAAGATTTAAGGCAGTGACTTTTCACGCTGTTTGTTTCCTACTCTTAAATGAAAATGCACTTTCAAAGTTTCAATGGGTTGTTTCATGTAGCTTTCATAATGAAATGCCAACTTATATGACAAGGCCCATTCTTATTGACACATTCAAGTCAACTCGACTATTCGACTATAAGTTACAGTCTTGGCTTGCCACATTAGATAATTAAAGTATTCTAAGCTACAAATGCTCTCATTGGTTGACTACTAATCTACCATACCTTGTAGCCTTGTAGGTAAGGGCTTCCAAACCGAGGGTAGTGAGACAATAAAACTATGTCTCGCAAAGGCAATGTAGGCATTTCAGACGTCATTTTAGAAATGTCTCATTGAGCTGTTAAATAGTACCATTGGAGTTTCAGTGGAACAAAATACACTTTTAGTGGTATAAAATATAGTCTCAGTGGTACTAAAAAAAATTCAATTGAAGTTTAAGTAGAACAAAATATAGACTCGGTGGTAGGTGCCCCTATAAATTTTTGTCCGTTTTACATGTGAACATATGTCAGAAATTATTAGTGGAACCCATATTACCTTTTTCACTCTTCCTATCTCTCTCCTCCATTCTCTCTCTTCATTGTACCTTTTTATTTTTTTAATAGACATTTCACCATGTCTCATACCCCTCCATTTATACTTCCTCCTTGTAGGTTGCATGTAAAAATCCGCGTTAGATTTTATTTTTGAATTTTATTTTTTTCAAACTTGCACTCCGCTTTGTTAAACTACATCTGTATGCAAGTAGATTAATTATTTTGCTCTCCATATTCTCAAAGTAAAGCTACATTTGGATAATTAATACTCTCTCCGTTTTTTCTATTTGCATCACTTTCATTTCTGAGGTGTGTTATTTTTAAATGCATCGCTTCTATAATTAATAATTTATACTATGGAGTATATTTTATCATTTTGATCTCTTACTTTAAGCCCCACTCAACTTATGTTATTATTTCACTCTCTTCCATGGTTCCACTAAAATAATAAAAATATCTATCCTCTCTCATATACTTTTTCTTTTATGGTCCCATCTTACTTTTACAATAATAATTTATTCACCTACTCACAATATTATATTACTCTCCTAAAACTTTATGCAATTCATGTTGAATAACAAACCTATCAAGTGTAACCACATGTAAGTGTCTCACATTAATTGAAAAAGAGAAGAGTTAAACACTTTATAAGCTAAGGGACTACTACTCCTATTGCCATATGATTTTGGGATGAAATCTTCTTCGATCTTGTGAAGTGGACTCACTCTCTTAGTTTGCGGGTGCGCAATAACTGAGGGAGTAATTTATTCTCCAGGTTCTCTAAGCTCCTTAATGAAGATATTTTTTTTATAGCTTTTTTGGATAAATTGTACCAACTGTAAATCCGTGACGTTTATTGGCTGACAACCTGACACAGAGGCCCAACATTTTGTTTGATTAACACCTCAGACGAGCGAAAATCTTTCCATGAACATCATCTCATTTAAAGATTCTCTTTCCTATTTTCCCTCATTCATTAGTAACACTCCCTTTTCACACTGCTACTCTTTATCCTACACTATTTCCACAAAATAGATAATGTCGCCTGAAAAATCCACAACCGCCGTAGTACAGCCGGAAATAGATGAAACGTCCGACGCTCGAAACGAAGCTAGACTAAAAATCATGGAGCTAGCTAACATGATAAGCATACCCATGGCATTAAACGCCGTCGTACGCCTCAAAGTAGCCGCCGCAATCTGGTCATCTGGCGCCAACACCCCTCTCACCGCTGCCGAGATCATCCCTCTTATCCTCCCCAACAACCCCGACGCTGATGCCGATAACCTCGCCCGCCTCCTCCGCCTTCTCACCACCTATGGCGTGTTTTCCGAGCACCCACCTATGGCCGGCGACGGTCGCCGGAGATACTCATTGACGGAGGTCGGCCGGACTTTGGTCCCCGGCGGCGGTGGCGGCGGTGGTGGCGGCGGTGATGGGTTGTCGTACGGGGAGTACGTGCTGCAGCACCACCAGGATGCGTTGGTGCGGGCGTGGACGTTGGTGGATCATGCGGTGGTGGGCCCAACGTCGAAGACCCCGTTCGAGGTTGCGAATGGGGAGCCAGCGTATGATTACTACGGGAAGAATGATGAGATGAATGAGCTGATGCAACGGGCAATGGCTGGGGTGTCGGTACCGTTTATGAAGGCGATTGTTGGTGGTGGGTATGATGGGTTTGATGGGGTGGGGAGATTGGTGGATGTAGGCGGGAGTGCTGGTGATTGTTTGAAGATGATTATGAGCAAGTATAGTTGTATTAAAGAAGGGATTAACTTTGAACTTCCTGAAGTCGTTGCTCAAGCTCCTCAAATCCCAGGTTAGTTCTCTAATTTTAGTCTTTGAATTGATAGAAAATAAAATATTGATGTTTAGTCTTAATCTTAGTTGATAAATGTATGTTGAAGTTGTCGTTTGAGTCTTAATCAGATGACAGAATCATTTAGTTGATTTTAGGTTACTGATCGCAAAAATTGAGAGTAAAATTTAGTTTCACTGTGCAGTGTTAAGAAGGTATTATACATTATAGTTAAACCTTATTAATATGTTGTTTGTAACTACATTGAAGCGATGAAAGAAGTGATAATTATTACTTGTGAGTTTGTAGGTGTGACTCATGTAGGCGGAGACATGTTCAAGTCGATTCCTTCGGGTGATGCAATCTTCATGAAGGTATCAATTGTCCCCTTCAAATTTTTTTTTACAGACTAGTAAAATTTGTTTTGTATGAATTTCTACATCTATACAAATTTGTTAATATGAACTGTCTACCCCTATTTCATGGTCCTTGCAACATTTATTGTTGAAATTAGACTTGTGCATGTTAGTGAGGTCCATGGTATGACAATTTGGGAAAGTGACAAGCTTTTAAAGTAATGGGGTCTTGGGAACTACTTAACTATAGGGTGTATTGTTTATGTTTATCTTTTCAAAACTTACTACCACTATTGTATGATGTTTGAGTCTTAATGTAAGATAATTCTCGCTCTTGATCTATCTCAGACATTATGGAGTTTCACCAATTTATCCATGTTAGAAGGTAAATCTTTATAAATGAGTCTAGTTCTGTGAGGATGATGCCATTTGCTAACATTCTGCTCTGGCTATTAGCTATAATGCTTTTTGCTCTTTAATACTCGAGTAAGTTCAACCATAATATAAATGGAATACTTCGGCTCTATAGGGTAGTGATGTTATAAACTTGAAGCTTATCATTTACAATCAACATAGGATATTCGATTTGATAGAACGTGTAGTGTAAATGTGTAACCGGTTTGTTTGACAACAACGTTGGTGAACTAGATGCTCATACTTACACTGCCTGCATTATTTTAAATCTTACAGTTTAGTATCTGACATAAAGAGACTAGAAAATTGAAAATCTTGCGAAGTATCACATGTTTGTGTTGGAATTGTTGCCTTTAAATATCTTATCTTCGCGGCTGCTAGTTTTGATGGTAGAAGTAGTGAGTTCATGATGTAGGAATGAGGACCACAAATCTGTATAAAATATTGTACTTATAGATTATAGCGGTGATTAACTTATTTCTGATCTAGTTTATTCCATGAAAAGGCACCAAATTTCTGTTGTTGTATGATTTGGATTCTGAATTTTGGTGTTTGTACAAACTCACTTACTCTGTAACTCGATTGATAGTTTTGCCTGCTCCCTTTATACATATATGATCCTTGTTTCGGCATGATATAACCTGCTTTAAGCAAGATACTCCTAATTTGGATTAACCTTGGCCTGGAATATGATATATGAATATGACGACATAAGCTGATGTTGTGCAGTGGGTACTAACAACATGGAGTGACGATGAAATCAAGTTGATCATGAAAAACTGCTACGAGGCCCTTCCTGCAGGAGGGAAATTGATTGCCTGTGAGCCAGTGTTACCTGATACATCAGATGACAGTCATCGGACACGAGCCCTTCTTTCTGGAGACATATTTGTCATGACGATCTATGGGGCTAAAGGCAGGCACAGGATGGAGGAAGAGTACCGACAGCTCGGAATCTCAGCAGGTTTTCCACATTTCAGGGCAGTACACATTGATTACTTCTTCACCGTCCTTGAATTCCAAAAATGATTCTTGTAATAGGTAATTGGGGTTAGGGTTACATTTCATGTTTAGAGATGTTACATACACAGTGGAATGGCCTAAATAAGATCAGATGTATTGTCATCCTCTTCATTAGTCATAAATCTTTTCATAGCACTATTGGAGTATTGGTGCCTTGATTAGTTGGCTCTATCACACTCCCAGCTTATGTATACAATATGTGAAATGTATGAAATCAATCTCTGGCCTTTTATGCAATTTATTTTGGGTCTGAATTTTAATCACTTATGTATTTTGTGTCCGTACATCGGTACTTGTTATCGTTCAATAATCATGATTAATATGATCGGACAATGCGTGGTTCCTGCAGGCGGATGCACGATCCGCATGATGCATCCGAGGACTTGAGAACACGACTTGTAATTTATCAAAGTGAACAAAAAATTTTGTATGAGACAACTCAAATCAACAATCAAACTTTCCCCCAGGTTAATCACAACTAGTGCTCGTTAAGTTTTGAGTTGAGCTGAGTTGATCACGAGCTAAAAAAAAAAGTTTTTGAGTTGAGCTGAGTCGATCACGAGCTACTCGCTTAAAGGTTTAGGTCTCTTGAATTTCAAATATTTTGTTGATTACTCCCCTCGTTGCTTTTTTTTTTTTTTTTTTTGCCTTAATTTCCTTTTTAGGGTCTGTTCTGTTCACCTTATTTTCACTTATTTCAGGTTTAATAAGTTCAGATAAGTTCAGTTAAGTTCAGATAATTTCAGATAAGGGTTAATAAGTTCAGATAAGTTCAGGGTTAATAAGTTCTAAATTAACGTTCTCCTCACCTTATTTCCACTTATTATATTTATATAGAGTTATTACTAATCAAGATTGCTTTTCACTTTTTTTTTTGGAAAATTTACAAATTGCAGCCATTTAAAGTTCGTATTTTGCAAATTGCAGTCATTTAAAAAAAAATTGCAAATTGCTGCGCAAAAGTTCATATAAATTGTAAATTGCAGCCCGATTCAACTTTTTTATCGGTTTACATGTTGAAAAATCTTTGATTAAGGTTTTAGGGGCCATTTTAGATCTTAAGGAACCAAATTGAGCTCGGAATCAGCAAAAAAATAACGCAAGTATCTTGTTTTGCGTAACAAAAGTGTATCGATTTGTGGGAAACTGTAAATATGAGACACTTACGTTATTTTTTTGCTAATTCCGAGCTCAATTCGGGTCCCTTAGGACTAAAATGACCCTAAAACCATAACCGAAGATTTTTCAACATGTAAACCAACGAAAAAATTGAATTGGGCTGCAATTAACAATTTATACGAACTTTTGGGCTGCAATTTGCAAAAAAAAAATTTAAATGGCTGCAATTTGCAAAATACGAAGTTTAAATGGCTGCAATTTGCAAATTTCCTTTTTTTTTGTAAAATTTTATGTGTTTTATTATCATGATTTCATATAAGAATAAAGTAACATTTGTATTAAAAAATAAAATTAAAGTAACGTTATACTCATAAGTTATGGTAAGACTAGATAAATTTTGCTTATATAAAAGTTAAGCAAATCAACAAGTTTATAATTTTGTGAAAAAAACAAAGGGAAATTAATGAGAATGAAAGTCAGATCAACAACAAAACCAAAGGAGAATTTTTACTATTTCTAAACTATAAAATAGTAATGTTGTTAACCGTTAAGTTTTTACTATTCCTAAGCTATAGAATAGTGATTAATTGCATGTTGTTAAAAGTCAAGTACACACTATTTTTAAGCTATACACTACAAAAATTTGGCATTTTAGCAACAGGTGAAATCCGTTGCTAATTGCTAAAAATCCGTCGCTGGACATAGCTAGCTACGGATATATCGACGGAATCACTCCATTGGTAAAAACCTTGTCGCTAAATGAATTTAGAGACGAAAAAAAACGTCGCTAGACTTAGCAACGGAAAAAAAAAAATCGTTAGCAACGGAAAAAAATATTTTGAATCCAAAAGAGAGCTGCTATTTGGGTCGACCTCACTCGGGTCAACCCGACTCGACTTTCGTTGAATCTCCAATCGCAAAATATTGCTGTTAGTAGGAGTCGAACCCGTGACCTCAATGTCAAATAGTGAAACTCGTACCAACTATACCAAATATTATTTGTTTACTTTTACGCACATAATTGATAATAAATGAAAGAAATATTAGAGACGGAATTTAAAATCCGTCTCTAGTTTAGAAACGGAATTTAAAATTCGTCTCTAATGTAGAAACGGATTTTCAAATCCGTCTCTAATTTAGAGACGGATTTAAAAATCTATTTCTAGTTTAGAGACGGATTGAAAATCCGTTTCTAGTTTAGAGATGAATTTAACTTACATAATTCGTATCTAATGTATGTAATAATTTAAATAATTAGTTTCAAAAATTATCTAGAGACGGAATCAAAAATCCTTCGCTCATATTAGCAACGGAAAAAAAAAATTCCGTCTCTAACTTAGCAACGGAAAAAAAAAATCCGTTGCTAACATAGCAACGGAAAAAAAAATCCGTCTCTAAATTTAGCAACGAAAAATAAATCCGTTGCTAAATTCAGCAACGGAAAATAAATCCGTTGCTAATTTAGCAACGGAAGAAAATCTGATTCTAATTTAGAGACGGATTTTCAGTTCCGTTGCTAATTTAGCGACGAAATTTTTAATTCCGTCTCTAAATTAATTTAATTTAGAGACGGATTTTTTGATTCCGTCTCTAATTTAGAAACGGATAAAATTTCATCGCTAGAATTCCGTTTCTATATAGACATTTTTTTGTAGTGATAGTGGTTTTAGTTTCTTCATGCATGCGTTTAGTTACCATTACTAATATATATATATATATATATATATATATATATATATATATATATATATATATATATATATATATATATATATATATGCATATGCACGCACATGCTTTTTCTTATTCAACAACTAATTAGACGTATCTTCACAAAACACCAAGAAGGTACGAGAGCTTGTTTATGAGTATTGTAGATAACTTCATTATTTTGATACTAATACACTATTTTCATACTATATTTTTCAGGTTTTGCGGAGGTAGTTTCAATAAAAAAAAGTATACTTGATCGACAACCAAGCTACATACGTAAGTCTATATTAGCTACTAAGTTTGAAATATGTTATACTATCTTACATTATGTTGACAATATTTTATTTCATATACAAGGACATGATTTGCTAACTTATACGAATTTCGGAATTGAGTAGTACGTGTACCTTGGTTTTTAAACTATAGCTTTAGAGTGTTTGTTGTTTTGTGCATTTTTTATCTTAGCACCTATATTTGTAAGTCCCAACATCACCCATATTAGTATCTTATTGACTTCATATAGTTAATAATGCTTTGAAATTTTTATTTATTAGCAAAACTACAATGGCTTCCAAGGAAAGGACATCATGGAACAATGAGGATATTGAGATATTTTTGGATTTAATAAAAGAAAACAAAAAGTCAAGAGGTGGAAAGTATAATTGGGACACAATTGTATTACGTTTGAATGCACAAACAGGGAAAGAGTTCGAAAAGAAACAATTGGAAAACTTTTATAGTGACATTAGAGGAAAATTTAAAGCTTGGAACGAACTTAAAAGTTGGACAGGAATTGGTTGGAATGAGGAAACGAGTTGCCCTGTGATTGATCCAAAAGATGAAAAGTGGAAGTCATTTATAAAGGTATTTAGGTTATGAATTTTTCTTTTTGTACTTATATTTTTGTTATTATTACTTGGAATAATATCAATAATTTTTTTTTCTATTGTATTGCCTTATAGAAACATAAGAACTCTTCAAGCTTTCTAAAGAAACCCTTGATGTTTGAGGATAAGTTGTATGATATATATTTGTTGGGACGTATGCAACAAGTAACAAATCTTGGTCTCCCGTCGTTGGAGGACTGACCATACAAACCAAACACAAACAACCCATGATTCTTGTTCAAGATGATTCTAAGGAAGGAGCTGGGGATTTTGATGAAGAACTTAGAACCAAAGATGATGATATGGAAGATACTGAAAGGTCAGCTTACGAAAGCAGGTCCCCTCCCAAGAGCATATCTTTTAGCAAACGTAAGAGTTCATATTGCGGTGCTACCTCTAGAAAGAGTGTGAAGGATGACATTGAAACTTGCATGGATTATTTAAGAAGAAACATGCAACTTGGTTCCTCTAAGACACAACCTAGACCATCTCCATCAAAATATGAAAAAATGATTTCAATATTGGAAGGAATGCCAGTAGTTAGCAATTACGGAAAGTCTTTCATTCTTCAAGTGTTGGAGTTCTTACGTGATCCAGATGAAAGTGATTTGTTTTTGTCTCTTCCGGATAATGAGTTTAGAATATTGTATTTGAAGACAAAAATCTCATTCCCAGATGATTGCTATAGGCCTAGCTTCGATGATAACTTGGATGATGATTATTAAACTATCATAAGTCGTCTAAGATGCTTAGCACTTGTTATTTTAAAGTTTGGGTGTGTAAGTTTCATTTTTCCAATATGGAATAAGTTAAATTTTGGTAACTAATGTGTTTTTATTGTGATATGTGAAACTTTATTTTATGGGATTTGTTAAACATCGCCCACAAATTACTACATAAAGCCCACAAAATTCACTTGGTTTGACAAAATTTCCCTTGACCTTAAAAAAAAAAACACTCACACTCTCATCACTCACACTCTCATTGCTCATCTTCTTTCAACCTCTCTTAAAAAAAAAAAATTTCAAACAACGGCAATGTCGAGGCGGCAAGGCAAGGAATTGGCGGCGGCGGCGGAGGGAAGGATGTCCCAAGGAGGCAAGGTACAATTTGTAAAAAAAAAAAAACAAAGGGAAAAATTGCCGTGACGGCGGTGGGGCGCCCTGGCTGGACGCCCAGCAAGCGGTGGTGGCGCCAGCTGCAGACGCCGCCACCAGTTGGCTGGCGCTTGGGCTGGACGCCATAGCCACGGTTGTGGCGTTTATTCAAGGCGCCGCAGCCGTGGCTGTGGCGTCCAGCCCAGGCGCCAGCCCACTGGTGGCGGCGTCTGCAGCTGGCGCCACCACCGCTGGCTGGGCGTCCAGCCAAGGCGCCCCCCCCCCTTTTTTTATATTTGTTTTAAAATATTGTTTTTAATTTTTTTTTTTTGTGTAATATATTTTTGAATTGTTTTTATATTTTGTTGTTTATTTTTATAAATTTTTTCAATTTCGTTGTATTTTTTCTATGTTTATATTTTGTTTACAATTATTTGTATGTTTTTA